AGGGTCTTTTGGACCCCCAGCATCACCTTAAAGAGGACCTGTCACCACCATCTGCTATTACATGGGGGGGCTTGCAAGCCCCCCCATGTGATAGCAGTCAAAGTAAAGTAAAAAAAATTAAAAAAAACAGTTTTTAAAATTAAAATGAAATAAAATAAATCTAATAATAATAAAAAAAAAATTTAAAAGTCCCCCGCCCCTGCGAGCACGCGCGTCGCCACGTAAACACGCGTCGGGTGCGCCTACGCATGAAAACGACGAACGCGCTACACATGTTGGGTATCGCTGCGCACGCCGGAGTGAGCGCAATAATTCTAGGGCCAGTATTTTGGGGTATCTCTAAATTGATGACCTGTGGGGGCTTTTAAAGCGTCTTTTATTGACTTTTTGGGGTACAGCAGTTTTTCGCCGTTTCACGGTCGCACGCAATCTGTAAACTGGGCATGTTGGGTATCGTTTTACTCGGTGTAACCTCATCTTTTATATTTCATTAAAAAAATGGGTAATTTGTTGTGTTTTGGGGCATTTAATTAAATTTGTCACTAAATTTTGGGGTTTAATAAGGAGTTGCGCTAATATTGCGCAACATAAAAATTTTCAACTACCACCATTTTATTCTATAGGGTCTTGGCATTCAGAAAATATATAATGTTGGGGGGTTTTACGTCATTTTCAGGCCTAAAATGTGGAATATAACATGGGTGCAAAAACGGAAAAAAGGGCCTCAGTCATAAAGGGGTTAAAATGATGCTATGTGAATGGGAACATGGGACAAATATAAAGTAGGTGTTATCCCAGTTTAGCTACCAAAGTGGAAATACACTTTAATCTTACCTAATGGCACATGTAGGGATCTTGTAGGAGCAGAAGAGCAGTGTATTTCACAGACTTCAGCTTAAGGCTCATTCACACAGCCATAGAGGGCCATACACCTTCAATAAGGGGCATATGTCTGCACCCAGATGTGACAGGTATTCGGGTACAGCCATGGCCAGCAACCTATATAACTGAATAACAGATGCCACGGCTATATGCAAGTCAGCCATGTTTCCATCCAGGGCTGTTCATTCATCCCTGTATGCATGTAAATGCTCTGACATGTGTACAGCCAGACTTAGAAATCTACCCCTTCTTGATGGTCTAGGGCCCTCAGCAGCCATGTAAATGAGCCCTTAAAGGAAATATAAAATGGTTTTGTACTTATTTTGTTTCTTTGTATATTATGTTCAGGACTAAAAAAAAAAAATGTAAAAATAATTGCTTTTATATTTAGGTAAATCTAGAAATGTTGCTTCTTACTATTCTGTAACCTTTTAATGGAACCATCAGGTGGACCTTTTCACAAAGTCAGCTACTTCATTATTTAGCTGTGTTCTGAATGAAGCCTCTTTTTTTCACAGAAATCCAATGAGTCACCACAGCAGTGATATATCTACTTACATTACAGATCTCAAAAGAAAATAGGGCCAGCTGGTCATTACCAACTTTTTTTTGCTTCTCCTCATTGTGGATTTGGTTAGAGTAGGGAAGGCTTAGAATCCTTACCATGTGTTTACCGCTGACTCTGCCCCCCCTCCTGGAAAGATGAACCTTTTTTGTCCTGAGGAGCATTGCCACTAAAAATGATAGAAAATAAAAAATTTGGAGTTGTTACTGAAACAGAGATAGAGACGGACTCTTCCAATGGTGTCACCTGTAGGGTTGCCACCTTTTCTTCGAGCGAAACCCGAACACTCTATACACCTGCTCCAGTGACAACTGTCTAAGAGGAGAATGCCCTTCAGGCCCTGTTCACACCAGGGTGTTTGTGGATCATATTTTTCAGCACATGAAATCCTTATGATTTCTTATTCTATAGTACCCCGCTCACGTCGCACTGAGAAAAAAGCCGGTCGCTGGAAAAAGTACATGAGCTTCTTTTTTGGGCAGATCAGTGCAATTAGGAATAGGAAAAAGGGTCACATCACTCGGATCTCCCCAAAAAGAGGCGCATACTTACAGGCTTGTGCAGAGCTTTTCCGTGTTGACAAATACGAGCTACAATTGCCGGCGGTGTGAACGGGGACTAACTTTGTAGATATTAACCACGGCCGTATTTGTGCAAAGCTCACCTACTTTGACATTTTCCGCCAAGAAAATCTGCTACTATAATCAGCTGTCTACAAATACTTGTATTTATCTATTTCAGAAATAGTTGGTGCCTTATTGTCCATGATTACGATCTGGGTTGTCACAGGCGTGCTAGTTTACTTGGCGTGTGAGAGAATTCTTCATCCTGATTACACCATAGACGGGGCAGTGATGCTTCTGACGTCAGCATGCGCCCTCGGAGCAAATGTTGTGTAAGTTCAGTTAATATTCTACTGGATACATCATCCCATGTATATACCTACATGCTGTACCTCAAATAATAATGAATAATTTTGTACTATAAAATAATGTGGAATTCTGTTTGCTTCCATTAATTATCAAACCTCAAGATGAACAAACACTATTAAAAAAAAATATCAATATAGTTTAAAGCCCAGATGAAGTTACCGAAATAGATATGCGGTCAGGTAGACTATTTGTGGGCAACTTTTGTCTCAGTTCCTAAATTAATAAGAGACATTTACTATACACTATGTTATATAAATATTCAGGCTCTCTTATAAGCCTGGTACTCTTAAAATAAGGTTGTTGTGAACATCCTGGCCTCATTACATAGTGACTGTTATCTTCTTATGACGGAATAGTTTGGCTCTGGTCCTCCACAACACTGGACATGGTCACAGCCACGCCGGGGGTCAACATCAACATATGGCACCTGATTACACGCCTCAGACTAATGCAAGCATACGTGCAGCCTTCATCCATGTCATCGGAGATCTCTTCCAGAGCATCAGCGTGCTAATCAGTGCACTCATCATATACTTCAAGGTCAGATCATCTCACAGTTGAAAATTAAAATGTGCTCCATAGAGTAAAGAAAATAGTATATTTTGACCAGGATGGGAGTGGTGTCCTTTAATTACTCTTTAATTACTCACCTGTCTAATTCACATTTTCCAAACTGCAGGCAAATATAGTCATGTGCTTATTAAACCGATAGAATACTTCGGGGTATCCCCAGTTACATAGAAGGTCAGTCCACCCAAAAGTGATTCAGTAATACTGTAGATGAAGACTAGTAAATGGAGTTCCTAAGGACTTTGATGCTACAACAATGAGCTCTTCTTGTCATAATTACCAACTTTGATCCTGTCTACTTGTAAGTTTTGGGTGTTCCCACCCACATTTGTGTATCCCAGAATCTTTTGCTGCATTCTCCATAATATAAAAAACCTTAAACACTTGCCAAGAACTGGCCATCTTACCCTTCTCCATCCATGTGAACCAAGTCTCTCTTCACCCACTATCTGATCATGAGTGGATCCATGTGGTAAGAGTTTTTTTTTTATTCTAGTGGATGCGGCTTTATGTAATGTGTAGATACCACCGAGGTATGTCAACTATCAGTGTTTGTCAGTGTTGTCAGCAGTAGAATAGAAGCATGGGTAAAAGAGGTTGTGGTTGCAGTTGGGCACCTGGGGGTTTAATAGGGCCTAGCCAGCTATAGCGAAGCACCCACCACCCTGAGCACCCTGAGCAAATGAGTGGAAAATTAATTTGTCTTAAAGGAAAGGGGACATACAGTGGCTGGGGTAAGGGGGATACAGTGGCTGGGGTAAGTTTGGTTCAGAGGTGGAGTTTTAGATACACAAGGTAATGGGATGTACATGTTAGTTGCAGGAGGAGTTTTAGGGTTTGGGATATATAAAGGTGGCTATACACCACACGAATTGTGTTTGAAAAAGTGTGTTTTTGGACTGTTCGTTTGACTTTATAATAGGTAAGGGCGTCAAATCAATGATGAATTTCAGGATGTTGACATTCTACTCAGTGGCGTCACAAGGGGGGTGCGGCCCGCACCCAGGTGACACCACTGGAGGGGTGACACCAAAATGACTGACAGTAATTTCGGTTTCCCCCCCTCTGAAAAGTCGGGTACTCGGTCATGGACCGAGAGTCCGACAGTTGCAGGAGAAAGGAGGGGACCTGGCGCCATACCTTATCCCGCCGGGTGAACATCCCCTTCTCTCCCTGCCGGCGTTGATCACCAAGATGGCTGCTGGCAGGTATCACAAAGATGGCCATACATGCGTGATGATGCCACGTGCATGAGCATGATACCCGGCCTCGGGACGCCCCTGATTCTATTGTATATTTCTCTGATGGCATTATCGAATGTTCTGATAAGGTTTTTCATATGAAAGTTCATTCGAAAATCTAGCGGTATATTGCCAGCTTTAGTCTGAATCACAAGACACAGGACAAGGAACAGTTATCTCATTGTTTTAATGTTTTTCCCTTCTTTTAGCCTCAGTATAAGATAGCCGATCCCATCTGCACTTTTATATTCTCAATCTTTGTCTTGGCCACAACCATCACCATTTTACGGGATGTTCTCATCGTTCTAATGGAAGGTAAGAACTATTACAAAATCCCTTAATAACACATGCACATGGGGTTTACCCAGATATACCTGAATGGAAGGAGTCACCGTGGGCATGCTCTGTTCTTGGGGGCCAAGCCAAGCCAGAGCTCCCTGCTCTATTTGTTGTGGTGTTTTAGTAAAAAGTTTAGCTTGCTGCACCCTTTTGGATCAGCATTTCGTCATTCATAACCGAAATGGGGCCCTTGTCTGCCAAATCTTTTATTGTCACCCAAAAACTTCTTCCTTCAGATACAGGGATTACCTGTCTAAACTTCTATGTCAGCCAGTAAAAGAAGGCGCTTTCTTGAAGAGATCTAGAGATCGCTGCTATCCCTACATGTCTAGGTGTGTCAGATAACTTGTCCCTTACTGGGTGCTATGGTTGCTCCTGCCGAGCTCTACATCACTACTCAGGGCCACTGATAGGGAGGTACAGCCAGCCCACCTGTACCAGGCCTGGGCCCTTCACGGACAGCAGGGGGGCCCCAGACTCCGCGCTTCCTGCTTCAAACCTGCCACAACCCCCGCTGAATCACCTGTGCTTGATCGACTGTATCGGAGGGCAGGGGAGACATCATACCTGATGTCTCCATAAAGAGAACCTGTCACCTACAATTGCTGTCACTTAGGGGCTTGATAGCAAACGTTAAGTGAAGAAAATAAATAAAAAAACTGATAAAGAAAGTTAAAAATAATAAGAATAAATAAATAAAACAAACTCTGCCTGCCTCCTGATTCAAATAAACATGTGTACATAGGGCAGGTACTGTACGTGTATGTAAACATGGGGGGGTGGGGTGATTTTAATTCCCTTTCACTACTTCAGGAGAAGTGCAGCCCCTCTGGGTTTAACTTTTTTGGCTTATAAATTCTTAGTGCTCTCCATAACTAGGAGTGTAGCAGGGGTGTGTTCATTGCCTAAATACATTGGGGGACATTTATCAACTCTGTCGCACAACAAATTAGTGCATAACAGATGCAGCGAGACAGATTGTGTAACAGATTCATTACAAGGTTACAACTTTATAATTTTCTCCCTGAATGTAGCATTGCAACAGAATAAAACCCGACCCTGACCTCTTCTTAATTATGCATCTGTTTAAAGGGAAAATGTGTTGCATCTTTAGAAATAAATCTGTCTTGGAACTTTAAAAACCTGTTGCAATTGGCTGTCCAGAAATACAGACGCATGCACAGGACTGCAAACCTGTCGCAGAGACTTTTCGGAAGGCAAGGCAGCCTGATTGCTTGATAAATGTCCCCCATTGAGCTGGAAGGTGTCCCTCTTTCTTATTTCAGAATGTTAGGAGGTATAATGGTGGTCAGCACATAAGCAAAATTGCGTTCCTATCCCAATGACTGTGGACCTGTGCTGACATGTAGGGCACCCTGGAGATGAGGGCCCAAAGACAGACACTGACAACACTCAGCTTCAGTAAAGGAGAGCAAGAAGGAAGACATTGGATTATTATAACCAGAAAAGGGCAGCAAAGTCGGTTTCTGACATTAGGTCCTCTATTAATGGCTCGGCTGAACAGCAGTGCACTAGACATGAGAATGAATAGTATAGAGCTCCATGTTTGTGTCCCTGAGGTGTCCACAATGCATGAAAGGGTGCCTGTTTTCAGCAGAAAATGAACAGTCTATAGATTAAAGACTGGCTTTAATCTTCATTTCTAAGAACTCTAATGAGAGGTTGGAGATTGCGATCTCCCGTGTTTCATCGAAGATTTTAGGGTGACCGCACATCTAACAGGACATCATTTTGCTCTACAGGGGTTCCTCGAGGGATTAATTACAGTGTTGTGAAGCAGAGTATTCTTGCCGTGAATGGGGTTAAATCAGTCCACAGCCTTCATCTCATGGCTTTAACAATGAATCAAGTCATCCTCTCCGTTCACGTTGCCACAGGTCAGTAACTGTATGTGTGCCAGGAACAAAAGTGCAATTGTTGCGCAATAAAGCTGATTTTTAATGTTCTTTTATACGCAGGCTTTACCTGTCATTCAATCCTCCAGCAGCTTTCATCACAATGTGCACCTCCGCTGCCACCAGACGCTTAGCTCTGGGAGCACTCCATCAGGGAATAACAATGCCTGGGGTTCTGAGCGACCTGTCTGCTGCTGCCTGGAACACAGCACACCATCACTCATATAGACTGTGCACCAGAGGCTTTGTGGTGTCTGACAGGGGAACTGGACAAACTAAGGCAATGAACATAAATAAACTTTACTGAAAGCATAACTAAACCCAAGAACAAAAATGTCATCCATTGCAGCTACCCGTCCTTAGATGTGGCGTCTGCATACTAGAGTTAGTACAAAAAAACCCTGATGATCTTGTGAGCATTGCATTGTCCTTGTCACTTCCTGTGAACTGTACCGAAGACAAAAAGATATCTTTCTTATGTAAACTACTAATTCCATCAGCCACCAGGTAATGGAGATGAACTAAAGTAGACATGTTTGAAGCCCAGCCTGGTTGGCAACCATTGCTCCCTCCATAGATACAGTGGGGGATTGAGTGTAGACATGAAGGGACAGGAAGTGAGTTATTTATTTGCAGGATGAAAAGGTGAAAATAAAGAAATGAAGCTTGAAAAAAGAAAACAAATGCAGCTAGCACAGGTAATATGTAGTATAATACATATATACTCTAAGATACACTCTAAAGCGTATCTAAACTTAAAAAATGAAAAATAATAAATATATATATATATATATTGTAGCTTATCGGTGCTTAGTTGTGGTAGTTGCATTTTTAAGGCTTTTTTCATCTTGCCAGTAACACACTTCCTGCCACTAGATGGAGCAGAGGAGCACAGGAACTAATTACTTATTTCCTATGCTCCTCAGCTCCATCTCGTGGCCATAATGTAATATTCCAACATTCTACATTCGAACTGGAAAAAAACTCCATCTAGTGGCCATCATGTTATATTACAATGCATCATTCAAACTGGGGAAAAATATTTTAAGGACATTCTTTTTTAGTATTATTCACCCAAAACGAATAGATATTCACAGGGAGAAGGGCTCTAGATAACTAGACCCCCATGTGTTGGTTTAATATTGTACTGTGTACTTATAGTTCACCCATTCTGGCTCTGTCCACCTAGAACTGCTTCTAGTTTTTAGGTGTACTGATGCAGAGAGGGGATGCTGTCTTTTTAGGGCCTCCTCCAGCAGCCCTGTTGTGTGGCTGAAACATTTGATCTTGTAAGCCCTGGTCCATACTCATGTGTGTTCGACAGCACGTGTGCAGGTATGCACATTTTACATGCATTAAGGAATGTTGTGTTTGGGCAGCCAATCCATTTCAATGGGCCCTCCAAAACAAAACAATGGCATCTTCTATTTAAAACATGCCACAAGAAAACACACTGTACTTTTGTATTATGAGTTTTGGGATGCTACACGGCATTTGTTTTGGCAGGTGAGTTTGGGGTGCCAATAAGAAATAATGAGAAAAAGATAGACACACGGTGCACTGGTGTGAATGGGGGCTTAGTGTGATGCTAAGGCTACAGAGCTGACTGGGATAGGAGGAGAACAGGACAAGACCACCACTGGGACACCATACTTCTAACTGACCGGGCTCTCAGGATGGCCTTGTCTCAGTTACAGGTGCACAGAAAGAGGAAATCAGAAAAGTGTCCCAAACTTTATTCAAATATCAAATCTAGCACAAAGAAAGCAAAACACGTAGATGTGGGAATTGGGACATTTTTACTCTGATGCCGGAAAATCAGTCCATGTTTTCTGAGTCAATTGGGAACAACTTTTGGTGCTTAATCAGCGCGTTATGTTTCTTCTCAATGCATTCCTGTGCGCATACTAATCAGTCAGGCGGAAATAAATTCAGATATAAGTTGTCAGGCCCAAGAGAATAAATATAAAGTGTACGCATTACCTCATCCAAAGTCCTAAACCCGAGAATAAATTCAGATGTAGATTAGAAGATAAATCTTCTTGTTTCTTTATTTGCCCTGTGAAGGGGTTTGTTTTTCATAAAGCCGGCAATGTCGGACCATTTAGGTTAGAACCTGTTCTGGGGTTTAAATTCCTATGACGGGCACTATATGTGTGCATGCTGCACTGTTTTTAACCACAACGCACTGTATTGTGGTCCTGCGGATTGCAGTGCGGCCGAGCACATTGTGACCAGGAGGTGGATTTGGAGTACCATTCAAATCAATGGCAACACAATGCACCTACCGCAATGTAACACACAGTAATTGCGCTGGGTGGTTGCATGTATTGATTGCACAGAACCATGTGATTAATGCACAGCATTGGTGTGAACGGCCCTTAAGGTTTTAGATTCCTGTAGAATTAGCTGGTCCCCCGAGTACTGATCCTGATATACTGTTTTAGGGTGGCTCCTTTCCTTTGCAAGGTCCTATGGAGCCAACCTTGTGTGTGCTAGTAAGCTGTGTGTGTCTCCGTAAACACACCGGCACAGCAAGCCAATCCACTTCTCTGCCCCTTCCTTCATTCCTCTCTCCTTCCTTCTCTAAGCTAGTAGATGAACAGCTGCTGGAGACTGTGCTTTCCCTTGTGATTTTGTATCCAACAGGAAGTTCAGGGAAGCTGAACTGAGAGAGTTGAAGTCAGCTAATCAGAAACATGATGACTGTAAGTGCTTGGTCAAAAATGTAAAGAAATACTTTGCTGGATAATATGTACTTGTTTGGTTTAGATTAATTACTGAAAAAAGTTTGAGAGTTTAAACTACTTTAAGTACCTCAATCTGACTTGGTATGGGCCTCTGAGCTTGCATGTAGCATAGCTCTGATTGGTAGAAGGAGAAGCAGCAAAAGTAACCAATCAGCTGTGATGCAGTGCTCATGTACTAACAAGGAGGTTGCTAATAGGAGGAGAGAGCATGGTGACAGAAGAATGAGCTCATTGGCCGGCCTCTTCTCCTTCATTGTCCAGTATCAGGCTACGGAGGGACAAGACCTGTAAGTGTTACTAAACTGCACCAAAATGTTAGATAGGGCTGTGCTGAATGGCAGAGCTGTGTACATATAAGGACTAGATTGGCTTATGGGTTGTGAAGACCCCGTGAGGACATTTTGGGTTTATGGGGTGTGAAAACCCCATGAGGAAATGTTTGGTTTATGTGGTGTGAAGACCCCAGGAGGAAATGTTGGGTTTATGGGGGGTGAAGACCCCATGAGGAATGTTGGGTTTATGGGGGGTGAAAACCCCAGGAGGAAATGTTGGGTTTATGGGGGGTGAAGATCCCATGAGGAAATGTTTGGTTTATGGGGTGTGAAGACCCCATGAGGAAATGTTGGGTCTATGTGGTGTGAAGACCCCATGAGGAAATGTTGGGTTTTTGGGGTGTGAAGACCCCATGAGGAAATGTTGGGTTTATGGGGGGTGAAGACCCCATGAGGAAATGTTGGGTTTATGGGGGGGTGAAGACCCCATGAGGAAATGTTGGGTTTATGGGGTGTGGAGACCCCATGAGGAAATGATGGGTTTATAAGGGGTGAAGACCCCATGAGGATATGTTGAGTTTATGGGGGGTGAAGACCCCATGAGGAATTTTAGGGTTTATGGGGTGTGGAGACCCCATGAGGAATTTTTCAACTTTGCTTTGGGACAGTATAACCATATAGGCTTTAATTCCTTTAGTCCCTTCTCACCATAACCTGTATGGTTATACTGTGCTGTTGGGTCCCAAACTCTACTCCAGGATGATGGTGAAGAAGCCTGAAATAGCTGTATTCAGTTTGGAATAAATGACTCTATAACTATATTTGCACGATACACCAGCATGTTCTGGATGTGCATCTGGTCAATGGGATACAAATATAAAACAATGATTTGAGGTGGCCACTGTCCTGAAATGATGAATAATCATTTAATTTTTATGTGATGGAATGAGACATGTGAACACCTTCTGGTCAAAGAAGACTGTGGTACTCAATAAAACAGACCTGAATAGCAGATTGCAGAGTGGGTCCCAGAGGTTGCACACACCTCCATCTCCTTTTCTTTCCTAGAAGAGATAGGACTTTTTAGCTTGATCTCTCACACACAGGCTGATAACAAGCATGCAGTTTGCTTTGCCCAATGAGAGGTACAGATCAACCCTAAATTAAATGTTTATTTGTAAAATTAATATTTAATATGGAATTAAAAAAGAACATTAGTTTAAAAACTTGTAAAAATTAACAAAATATAAAATAAAATTGAATAAAAAAAAAGTGTAAAACCCAAACAAATTCATGGTCAGGAATAGAGGGGAAAGGTTTGAAAAATGGTTACAACAACAACTGCCTGAAGAGAAGATCTCACTTACCGGAGGGGTTTCATCTGACTTCATGTTATATCTCGAGACAGGAAGTGAGGGAATATTACCCAACGAGACACAGGAAGCAAAAAAAAAAAGGAATTGCAGGGGTTTCAACCATTTTTAAAGGAGAACTATGGGGTAAGTGAATTACACTCATTCCCATAGTTAGAGTTGATGTGTGACATTAAAACTGTCACAGGCCGGCTCTATTGATTGGGAAGTGAGCAAAAACACAATGGGGGGAGGGGGGGGGGGTTATCAAAACTGGAGTAAACAAAATCTGGAGCAGATGCCCATGCCCATCTCTCTTCAGTTTCCTCAGGTAAGATTGGAAAATGAGACAGAGAAGCTGATTGGCTGCAGTGCAAATTTTGCTTGCTCCAGTTTTGATAAATTACCCCCAATGTCGCTCGCTGACTTCCCGATCATCTCCCTGCAGAGAGCGGTGACTCTCGGTCACCGCTTCCCAAAGGGGTTCCTTCGCTCTCTCATCCTCCAGCGCTGAATGGAGGAAGGGACAAGGGAGGGGCGGGCATAGCTGGCTCTGCCGCTAGTTAGGCCGAGCCCGCTGTCAATCAGCCAACGGGCTCGGCCAATCTAGAGCAGTAATGTCAGGATCTGGGAGTAGTATTATCCGGATTTGTCCCAGCTGCAGTGCTCTCAGCATATAGCCGGCAATAGCCCACTATATACTGAGATTTGGGTCATGGGAGGTTAGTATATGTCCTCCCGTGAACCTAAAGAGAACTATGGGGGAAAAAGTTCTCTTTTTCTCATAGTTCTCCTTTAAACATTCCCTGCTATATCACAACAATAAACGTTTGTTAATGTATGTAACCAGCCATATTTATTTTTTTTAACAGAGACTTCAGATGACAACAGAAGAGTTATGAAGGAAGTCACACGGAATGTGTTTGACAATTTTCCCTTTCACTCGGTCACTGTACAAGTTGAACCGGCGGAGGAACAGAATCCTGAGTGTATGTTCTGCTATGAGCCCACTGACTGAGCCAAAAAGTACTTCCGCCATGAGATGACATCTACATCAGCTCAACGTCCTACCTACAGATAGAGAACACAGACAATAAACTTGTCATATGACTAGTAATCATTTGTTATTGGGTCCTTCTATGTCACCTGACACTACAGAATAACAACTGGGAAAAAGAGATTCTTGATGAATTATTGAAAGACCACATATTCCCTGTGAGTTAGTAAATGGCATGCACTGACTTGCCTTCACCTGGAGAGAATTACCTATAGGGTCTTGGGTTACCTCTGGAATTTTCTGATAGGTGTATTTGGTGTATTTACAATGGTGAGTGTTTCCACATATAGTCCTATATTCACACATTAAAAGATCCTGGACCTTTTGTAAATCTCCTCATCAGACCATCACAGACCATCAATTGCACCTGAAGCCAACACTTTTTTTTTAGTTTTGGATGGAGTGGGGAGGGATTAGAAGACATGTCTGGTTTTTATTGCTGTCTGTGTCCCTGTTAGAGAGATTCACCCCCTCTACTTGTCCTGGTGACCGTTCACACTTTCGATTGTCAACAGGACAGGAATAGATGGGAAATCTTCCTTCTGACCACCAGGGACTTCTACCACTTTCGAGGAATTTCCTCTTACTTCCTTTTGCATCCGTGGGACAGGAAGTGAAGGGAAATCCCCCCAATTGCACACAGAAGGCCAAAAAGTTGACAAGGGTTATAATCCTCCCTTATTCTATCCAAAAAGTCAAAACTGAGATTATTCAATTTAGAGGCCCTATAAGGTCTAACAGTTTATGCTTCTATAACTGCACAATCTAATGCTGATAAACATACTCAGAAGCTCAGAGACTGTGTTTGTTAACAGCATGAAATAACATAGTTGTATAGTAAGTTATAGCCTTAGGCTGGCCACAAACTTAGAATTTTGGTAGAATCATAGGAATCAGCCCAAAATTCAAACAGCGGGTGGCCCTGCTGGCTTGCCAAAAGTCGATTAGTCAATCAACTCTTCTTGAAAGAGGTGAAGTGAACATTTTCAGCTAAACAGTGAGTGCAGCCATTCAGCTGCTGTCACAGTTTTGGTATTCTGACAGCAGTGGGCACCAGTTGTCCCAATAAATAGCCACAGCAGGAGATTTGTCTTTCCATGCTGTTTAGTGTGGACAGAGGACTCTGATAGATGCAGGCTAAGGGGAAAATATCAATTAGTGTAGTGCCAGCTTTACTCTAGCCCAGACTTTGTTTTAGTTCTCAATAGAGGGAGCAAAATATTGTCTAAATACATGACTCCTGTATTTAGACAATATTTGCTTATTCTGAAGTTCAGTTTTAATATTTGAGTCCTGCAATGGCACTGTTGCAAAGTCATGGAAGAATGTGTAGATCAGCAGCATATCATATGCTCCTCTTAAAGTGACATTAAACCCTCAGATTTTTTAACATAAACCAACACTGTAATGTGTGCCTTACTGTAATCCATAGTTGTTTCCCTTCTCTTTGCTGCTCTTCCTTTTAAATCCTCATGTCTTCTCATGCTTGAAGAGAACTTCCCTTTTCAGCTCAGGGCCTCTTCCTGTAGTGCTGGCTCAGGTTAGAAGCCCATACAAACGTATACACAGACACCGTGTATCCATTCCTGAGGCAAGGCAGTCTGCTGCAAAACAGAAGTTCTGCCCAGCATGAGAACAGATACAGATTTAAAAGGAAGAGCAGCAAAGGGAAGGGAAACTACCATGGATTACAGTAAGGCGCACATTACAGTATTGGTTTATGTTAAAAAAATCTGAGGGTTTAATGTCACTTTAAGCTTTTAATATTCACATGTGTTGTAAAGTAGCCACCGCTCCAAGCTCGCTCCCATGATGGACTACAATCTCAATCAAAATTATTAAACCAAACACGAACTTGGAGCGGTGACTACTTTACAACACACATGGACCATGGGGAACAAAAGTAGTCACCCTCCAGAAGGAAGCACAGTGTCAGCACCAATTCAGAGATTTGATGATCTACAGCCGAGTGATACACTAATAAGATACATTTTTTATATTAGTTAATGTACTTAAATGTATTTTTAAGATTTCACTCCTGAGTTTAGTGTCAATTTAAATACATGAATGGTGTGAATAAAATTCAGGAGGACATTATTTCCAATATGAAGCTAAGATCCAGAACACAGGGACATGACCTCAAACTAGCAGGAGGAAAGGTCGAAAATAACATTAGAAATGATTATTTTACTGAAAGAGTAGTTGATGTTCGGAACAGACTTCCAGCTATTGTAGTGAGTCAGTCAACGGTAAGTGAATTCAAACATAAATAAAACAATAAAAAAATGTATAAACAAAGGTGCAGACTTGATGGACCCCTTGGTATCGCTTCTATGCTTCTACCACTCCCACTCATTCTTGATGAGGGTCCCCTCAATTTTTGGGCAGCCATAGTTCTCAGCGGGTAACTCAATCCACTCGCCATACTTCCATACATAGATATTTTTCAATGCAATCCAAACTTTCCAAGGTCAAATTCCACTATCTGCCCCTTACAGACATTGCAAGTTTCCATCCAGCAAGGATACGGCTTCTCCTGTATAAAGTTGAATTCACCGGATTCAGCAGTTCTAATTTCAGAGTCCCCGGTAGATTTCGGTGGAGAAGCAACCCGACTGCCTAATGCACACAGACTTGGCATTTTAATGCAAGAAAACAGGCATTTATGGCTGTTAGTCCTGGCAGCGTACAGACGAATGACGTTCTATACTTGACCCTGGGATAAAAATTGATGGTCATTTTCATATTAACTCTATAATTCCAAATCAAATCCATGTTCACCTGTTTTACTTTACAGACAACTGCGCACAAAATATATAAACACTAATATGGTAAAACAGTCAGGCTGAAAAGAGGACAATGTCTATCATTACCAACTCATTTTAAATACTTATGTGTGTTTATAAAAACGAAATGTCCTGTAAAACTGCATGTACAGGCAAATATGAATGTTATTAGTATATTTTATTTCCAAGTTGAATATATTATCAGGAAAATACAGCAAAATGGCCACTAGGTGGAGCTGGGGCACATAGGAAACAAATACTGCTTTCCTATGCTACTCGGCTTCATCTGTTGGCCATAATTCGATATCTTCCTGATATTACAATTGACTCGGACAGAAAGTATACTAAGAACATTTTAGCTTTCATTCGCACAGAACGAACGTGCATGCAGTTTGGAAGGATGAATGGCTCTGATTTTTTTTTTTTATAAATACACTCTTTACTGCTATATAATAGCGGCAGAAGAAGGCAAAGCAAATCAAGATTTCTCCTCATGGACCGGTTATTGTGCATGAAGGACACTAGCGCTAATCCTAAAATATTTCATTCAGATCTCCTGTAAGGCACCTTTTTAATGAGGACAAGTTCAATAATAAATGCTTGTCATATGATCTGACATTACCTCTCAAATTCTATGCATTCTATGACAGAAAAGGTTTGAGTCTTTAGGAAACCAAATGCCTCCTTTTTAACACTGTAGGGTTTTTTTATAAATGTTTTAACACAGGATTCACACAACTTTCACCCAAAATAGACCCCTGTGTGGCATTGACACTGCACTCACTGTAATTCAGTTACACATCAAATTCCCATTGCTTCCCATGGGTTGGCTGACTATTGTTGGGATACATAATAGGTGGCATCCCCATAGGAATGAATCGAATGCCTGCGGTCTGGTCTAAACAAAATAGTGCTTGCAGCATTTTGTTCGGAACGGACCAGACCGCAGGCATTGATGTTCCTTGCGCTCCCATGCGGCCGATCGCATTGTTGCCGGAGGGCGTGGCTGCGGTGCCATTCACTTCAATGGACCGCCACACCCCCTCCTGCCCCACAACATAGTGAGCCGGCCGCAATGCGATGCAGTGCATTGCGGCCAGAATAGGGCCGGAACGCACTGTGTCTGGTGTGAACGAAGCCTAAAAATTGTCAAAAATTTCAGAAAATTGTTCCTTAATGTAAAATTGCAAAGATTTTAAATATATCATCATCTACAGTACATAATATCATCAAAAAATTCTGAGAATCTGGAGAAATCTCTTTGTGCAAGGGACAAGGCCGAAATACAATATTGGATCTTTGGGCCCTCAGACGGCACTGAATCTAAACCAGGCATGATTCTGTGATGGACATCACTGCATGGGCTCAGAAATACTTCCAAAAATCACTGTCTGTGAACACAGTTCACTGTGGCATCCAAAAATGCAAGTTTGCATGCAAAGAAGAAGTCATATCTGAACATGATCCAGAAACACAGCCGTCTTCTCTGGGTCAAAGCTCATTTAAAATGGCCTATCACAAAGTAGAAAACTGTTCTGTGGTCAGACAAATCGAAATTTGACATTCTTTTTGGCAACCATGGGCTCTGCTTCCTAGAGACTAAAGAGGAGAGGGACCTTGTTATCAGCGCTCAGTTCAAAAACCTGCATCTCTAAAGAGAAGGGGGTGTATTAGTGCATATGGAATGGGCAGCTTGCACATCTGGAAAGGCACCATCAATGCTGAAAGACATATCCAGGTTTTAGAGCAGCATATGCTCTCATCCAGACAACGTCTTTTTCATGGAATGCCTTTTATATTTCAGCAGGACAATGCTAAACCGCATACTGCATCTATAACAACAGCATGGCTTCGTAGTAGAAGAGTCCGGGTGCTTAACTGGCCTGCCTGCAGTCCAGAACTTTCAGCAGCTGAAAATATTTGGTGCATCTTAAAACACAAAATACGACAAAGAAGACCCAGGACTGTTGAGCGTTAGAATCCTATATCGGACAAGAGTGGGACAACGTTCCTCTCCCAAAACTCTAGCAACTGGTCTCCTCAGTTCCCAGACATTTACAGAGCGGTAAAACAAGAGAGGATGCTACACTGGGGTAAACATGGCTCTGTCGCAACTTTTTTTGAGACATGTTGCTGTCATCAATTTGAACATGACCTTATTTTTTTCTTAAAGTGGTCCATTTTCTCAGTTTAAACATTTGATATGTTTTCTATTTTCTATTGTGAATAAAATCT